GGGGGGGGGGGGGGGGGGGGGGGGGGGGGGGACCGTCCAGCTTCGGCTTCCAAACGAGAGGTTCCTGTTAACCAGGAGCCTGGATTGTAGACCTGGCGGTGTCTCCGGCCTCAGTTTCCTCATCTGTAAAATAGGGCTGTTGAGGTTTGGGTCGCAGAGGCATTAGAGCCCCTCCGGGCGAGCGGTTGGGGGGGGGGGGTGTCTCTCAACTGCCAGGGGTCAGGACGAAGGGACTCGCCCCAGGTCCCACGGTTTGACAAGCGGCTGAGCCACAACATCGGCCACTTCCAGCGTTGCTAACCAGCCAGACGCTGGGTGGCCTTGCGGAGCCTCCGTTTCCTCGTCTGTGGACGGGACGGAGTCGGTCCTCCGTGGAGGGTCCCCAGAGTGAGGTCGAACACATGGCACTTAGTAAGTGGTTGTTATGGTGTTTGAAATTCATTTTTAATCAAATGAGTTTGGGGGGGTACCTGGGTGGCTCGGTCTGGGTCGGGTCATGACCTGGCGGCTCAAGAGTTCGAGTCCCCTCCTCCTCCCTTCGCCTCGGGCTCTGCTGACAGCTCAGAGCCTGGAGCCTGCTTCACGTTCTGTCTCCTCCTCCCTCTGCCCCTCCCCCGCTCGTGCATGGACTCTTTTTCTCCCAAAAATAAATCAACATTAAAAACAAGTTTTTTAATATAAGGAATTTTTGTTAAATGCATATTCTGTGCTGGGTCCCATGCTTATTCTGTTAACTGTGTCCCTCCGGCTAGTCTGGCTTCCTGTGCTTCTCCCTCCTCCCCCACTCCACCATTTCTGTCATAATTCTGTAATTCTGCTTGCCTCTCCCTCACTACCCGCTGCACTAGCCCCAGTTGCTACCATCTTGAAGCTTCTTTCTGTCCTCACTGTCTCCAAAGACAAGGCCGCAGACTTTGCCCTCATTAACAGTTGTCTAGTTTTTACACTAGGAGCACAGTTGGGTGCAAGAAAAATAATGAGCCAATGCGGCCGCGAAGCTTAAGGAATGATACCAAGATGTAATGTGCCTTCTCTGCCGGACACTTCAATCTTGGCATCCCTCTGGTTACTGGCCTCAGCTCGCTTTCCCCCCTCAAGTACGTGTGTGCAAACGGTTCCCAGGTCTCTGTTGCCAGCTCCTCGCTCTCCCGACCTGGGGACTCAGCTGTGTGCTCTGCAATGTCCTCATTCTTCCATTGAAGGACACGGATCCCCCCCCCCAACCCCGCTTCTCTAAGTGGATCTCAGGAGGAGAAAGTCAGTGAAAGACAAGCCCCCACTTCTGATGTAACAGCCTGGAGGGGGGTGGACCCAGGCCAGAGGCCCCTCACCCGGGCCAGCGGGAGTGGGGGGTACTGTGTGAGAGAACTAAGCCCCCTGCATGTATTTGGCTTATTCCGATACTCCGTTCCCCATTCGATTCTCTGTTCCCCATCTCGGGCAAGACCTGAAAGCGGACCCTGGAGGTGGGAAGCTGGAGAGAGCTGGTGCGCTGGAGAATTCTTCGGATATGCTGTTTAATCCTTTCTCGGTCCTCCAGTTATTTCAGGCCTCTGGAATCCGAGGCTCACAAAACCTTCAGTGAAAGGGCCACAGCTTACCGATTTTACAGCTATCGCTCATGGGCCCCTTTCTCCTCAAAATGTGCTACGAAGCCTTAGCACACGCTCTTCTCTCTGTGAAGAGCATAGCCTGCTCGCTGATCCAACCCCACAGTCTACATTTTCCCCAGGCTCCTTGTTACCTGTCCTTATGATCTCGACTTAGATGTCGCCTCTCCTAGGAAGCCTTCCTAAACCTCAAGAATTGGTTAAACGTAAACGTACAGGTGCATGTCAAAGTATGTAGGAGCGAAGTGACACAATGTCTAGGATTTGTCTTAAAATACATTCAAATAAAAAAAGTAAAGAGGGATATATAATCAAGAGTGGCCAAATTTTGATACGTAATGAAACTGAACGATTGTTATATGAGAATTCAGTATACTCTTCTCTCTAGCTTTCCACGTTTTTGAAATTTTATCCGCTAAAGAAAGAGAGAGGAGACAAGCACGTGTACACACACACAAAATCTTGGTTAGGAGCGACAAGGCCAGACATAGACCCTTTGCCTTTGGCCGGTATCCTGTTCTTTGTCTCATCAGTGATTAGCTTAGAACTGTTTGTCCCTTGAAACTAGCTGGACTTGGGGCGCCTGGGTGGCTTAGTCGGTTAAGCGTCCAACTTTCGCTTGGGTCATGATCTCGCGGTTCGTGGGTTCGAGCCCCGCGTCGGGCTCTGTGCTGACTGCCAGCTCAGAGCCTGGAGCCTGCTTCAGAGTCTGTATCTCCCTCTCTCTCTGACCCTCCCCTGCTCATGCTGTCTCTCTCTCTCCTAGAAATAAATTCTAAAAAAATATTTAAAAAAAAAAAAAAAGGAAAAAAAAAGAAACTAGCTGGACTCAAAGATAAACATTTCCTGTTTAGCTTGACTGAGATGTCCCCTAAATGCAAAAACAATCCCAAGTGTAAGTTGCCCACGCCTGTAGCCTGTCTGCTCCTCCCTACAAAAGTCTAAGGCAAAACTGCCCTGCCTACACACTCCGACCTTCAGATCTGGGGACGACCCCTAATGCAACAGACCGAATGAAATCGATCTCCTTCATCATCTGGATTTTGTCTTTGACAAGACTTTGTCTTTATTCTAGAGTTTCATAGTGTTCCTCTCCATCATAAACGTCATACTGAACTGTGATCACCTGTCTGTCTGTCTTCACCAGTATCAAACACAATATCTGACAGAGAGTAGATACTCGATGAATATTTGTTTAAAAATGGTCATTCTGAGGGCGCTTGCTGGCTCAGTCGAAGGAGCATACGACTCCTGATCTCAGGTTCATGAGTTCTAGCCCCGCATTGGGTGTGGAGATTACTTAAAATTTGAAGAGAGAGAGAAAAAAAGATCATTCTGTGACTGTTCTTTCTGGTCTGGCTGAGAGGGCTCTTCTATTCAGGCCTTCCTAGTTTGAAGGGATAATGTGAAATCCAACCCATTTAGAAGTTTTATACTTTCAGTACATGAATTGAAAAGAAGGGAGGCCGGATCATAAACCTGTATTGGGTTTTCTAACAGTTTAGTTCTAAGACCATTTTCATGGAGGTCTGGCCTTCCCCTTCAGTGACAGACAGCTGACATTGGATGTCAGCTGTAGCTCACCTGGGAGTTTTAAAAAATACTGATGTCTGGGCCTTGTCCCCAGAGATCTGGTGCAAGTAGTCCAGGGCGTGACTGGCCAATGGATTTTTTTTTTTTAATATTTTTATTTATTTCTAGGAGAGAGAGAGACAGCGTGAGCAGGGGAGGGTCAGAGAGAGAGGGAGATACAGACTCTGAAACAGGCTCCAGGCTCTGAGCTGGCAGTCAGCACAGAGCCCGACGCGGGGCTCAAACCCACAAACCGTGAGATCATGACCTGAGCCGAAGTCGGACACTTAACCAACTAAGCCACCCAGGCGCCCCCTTTTTTTTTTTTTTTTTTTTTACAGAGAGAGTGCACAAGTGGGGAGGGGAACAGAGGAGGCAGGCACGGCACTAACAGCAGTGAGCCCATTGCAAGGGCTTGAACTCATGAGCCATGAGATCATGACCCAAGACAATGTCAGAGACTTAACTGACTGAGCCACCCAGGTGCCCCTGGCCAATGGATTCTTAAATGTGTCCCAAGTCGTTTCAATGTGCAGTCCCCAAACGGAGACTCACTGTTAGATCTGAAGCATCATCAGGCTCCCCTCCTGCCAAACCTGTGGAAGCAGCCTCAGTGGGACAATGAAGTGAGACCCCACCTGGGCTGCCCATCGCTGGGATCGGGAACCTGTCCAGCAGTTTCAGTGATGGCGGCCCCAGATAGCTACGGACCCCCAGCGTCACCAATCTCGACAGGTGGGAGGAAGCCATCTCTGGAGCGGATAAAGGTCAGGCAGCTCTGGGGGCGCCTGGGTGGCTTAGTCGGTTAAGCGTCCGACTTTCGCTTAGGACATGATCTCGCGGTTCGCGGGTTGAGCCCCGCGTCGGGCTCTGTGCTGACTGCCAGCTCGGAGCCTGGAGCCTGTTTCAGTCTGTGACTCCCTCTCTCTCTGACCCTCCCCTGCTCATGCTGTCTCTCTCTCTCCTAGAAATAAATAAAACATTAAAAAAAAAAAAAAAAAAAAAAGGTCAGGCAGCTCTGATCTGATCTGATCACCCAGAGGCCTGGCTGGGGGAAACTGGTCTTCAGCCCAACCGCAGATGTGGCTGAAAGAGCTGCGTGACGAAGAAGAGCGGGACTGTTTGCGTGGCCCAGACTCATCAGTCCATGACCTCAGTCTTCTCACCTGGAAGTTGCCCGCCCCCTCCATCGTTATGGGGAATAAGTGAGTCAGTGTAATGAAGTGTTAGTGAGCGGGATGTAAGCGTTAGCTAGTGTTCTTGTCGTTGGGAGAGGTGAGGAGATGGGGTAGCTGTGTCAGTGGATGATGATTCGCACATCTCTCCTCCCCCACCAGGGCGCTCTCCTCACAGAAAGGTGTCACAGTCGACTTTGTTCCTTGTTCCTATCTTAATGAAAAGCTCACCATGTTTACACTGTCACAGCATAAAGGAAGTTCTGTTTCATACGGTGTGTAGTTTTCACCTTCTAACATGCTCCCTGTTCTGGCAAGTCTCTGATCACTGCATTTGCCTCCTTTGGAACCTCAGTAAGACATTGGGGTTTATACCAGGTCTTGTCACCTTGAGACACCTTGAGAAGGCACCTCTGAGCATGTGGGGGCACGGAGTGACATTTGGGGGGCCCCCGGGTCTCCCTGTACCACCTAAATTCTGTGCTTATACCTGTGGCCTGGCCTCCTGGCTTCAATTATTGGGAAGAATACACTTAGGAGGCTGACGCCTCAGAGCCAGGGACAGTTGGGTGTGCCAGGCCCTGTCTGCTTGAGGTCACTTGGTTATGGATCCCGGATGGACAGATGCAGTCGAGGAGCCTGGCTGGTCTTCTCCAGGGGCCTCACCTTTGTCAGCTCGGGGCTGTGGTGTCACCAGAACGATTTCCAAGCCCTTTGGGCTGCTGACCCTTCAGACATCAAACTTGGAGCATAAGGGTAGGAACTCCACCTGCTGACGGGGAGAAACAAGAATGTCCTGCCCTCACCTGACAATCCCATAACTTCGGCCCTCCTGTAGTCGTACGGCCCAGGACTGGCAACAGTTTTGATCAAAAGTTGCTGACACGAAGGAAAAAAAAATCATAAGAACAAAAGAGACTATAGGTTTCTTTTTTTCAGTTTCTTCTTTTTTATTTTTAAACATTTACTTTGCTTTTTTCTTAAATTTGTTTGTTTATTTATTTATTTATTTATTTTTAATTTATTTATTTTGAGAGAGAGACAGAGAGAGCAAGTGAGGAGGGGCAGAAAGAGAGAAAGAGAGAGAGAATCCCAAGCAGGCTCTGGGCTGCTAGCACAGAACCCAACGCTGGGCTCAAACCCACGAACTGTGAGGCCATGCCCAGAGCCAAAATCAAGAGCTGACACTCAACTGACGGAGCTATCCAGGTGCCTCTATTCATTTTTTAAAAATATTTATTTATTTTTGAGAGAGCGAGCGAGAGAGCACAAGCTAGAGAGGGGCATAGAGAGGGGGAGACAGAGGATCTGAAGTGGGCTCTGTGCTGAGAGCAGAGATCCCTATGCAGGGCTTAAATCCATGAACCCACTGAGCCGAAGTCAGATGCTTAACCAACTGAGCCACCCGAATGCCCCTAAGTTTATTCATTTTGAGAAAGGGTGCGCACGAATGGGGAAGGGACAGAGAGAGAGGAAGAGAAAGCATCCCAAGCAGGCTCTGCATTGTCAGTGCAGAGCCTCACGTGGGGCTCGAACCACTGAGATCATGACCTGAGTTGATAGCAAGAGCCGGATGCTCAACTGACTGAGCCACCCAGATTCCCCTGTGGGCTATTTTCTAATCCCCTGGAACACTGAGCCTCTGTTGAAAGGATGGTTGTGTCTGAAATCCAATTTCTGATATCAAGTGCCTTGAACACAGCAAAATCAGGGCAGTGACCTTTATCAGTGTCTTGTGTGTGTCGGCCAATGACAAATGCTGTACATACACTGAAATATTTAAAATCCTCTAAAGACAATTATCTTCACTTTTGTGGATCTGGAAAGGGAAACTCTTAAGTTGAGCCAGCACCTCCAAAGTAGCATGGCTAATGCGTCATTGAGCCTAGAACACCATTTTGGATCTATCCACAGAGTCTACGTTCTTAGGAGAAGCAAGTCGTCTACTTGGGACTGTCTTCATATGAATAAAATGAGTAAATGTCTTTTTTAAAGATACGGATTTTATAGAAAAGGTAGAAAATACATTGAGGCAAATACAAACAGGATCAAATAATCCCCCATCCAAAGTTACTGCAGAAAACATTTTGGTTTTGTATCTGGAAACATCAGTATATCTACCAGCTTTTGTCTTCTGAGCCTTGGTAGGGAGCCCTTTTTAGGCCAATAAATGTAGATCTGTGTCATCTAGAGCTGACTGGATACTATCTCAGTATAGGCATATCTCCTAAGTTATTCATCTGAGTGTGTGTGTGTGTGTGTGTGTGTGTGTGTATGAGGGGGCAAGGAACAGAGAGAGGGAGACACAGAATCTAAAACAGGCTCCAAGCTCCGAGCTGTCAGCACAGAGCCCAACTTGGGGCTCGAATTCGTGAACCATGAGATCATGACCTGAGCTGAAGTCAGATGCTTAACTGACTGAGCCCCCCAGGCGCACCTGGACACCTTTATTGTTAAGTTCAGTCCTCAGTAGCTTATATCTTTGTTTGCCTTTGTAAACAGGGTCTTCCAGCAGGGAGGTCTTTAAGTGCAAAAGAAATAATAAGTGAGCGCTCTTCAGAAATTCAGTATCTTCCAGAAATTTTCTTGTCTCTTTTGTTTGTAAACAATTATTTAAAATGTTTGTGGTGACTTAATAACTTGTCCCCTTGACTTTTAATTTCATGGTGGTATAAAGGCAACACAGAATTCCAGAGCAATCCGAAATTGCGTGGTGGTGTTAGAAGCTTTCCCGGTTGGGGAGTTGCTACAGAAGCTTCTAGTCCAGCTGACAGGGAACATCTAAAGACTGGGTTGTTTCACGAGTACTTATTACATGCCAAATACTAAGTACCCAGCAGAGTCATAAACCAGACAGGTGATGGTCAAAAGCACGTATAGAGCTTTCAGTTTCCCTATAGGGAGAGATCCCACAGATAATCCAGTAAGGGCAAGAACTTTCTATACTTGGGGAAAGGCCCTGAGGTGGGAAGGGGCAGAGCACAGTCGGAGAAAGGCCCGGATGTGGTGAGTAAGAGTTGTGTCCTGAAATGAGGCTCCAGTCATGTGTGGGGACGCCCTGTAGGGTCCTCTGCTGATTCAGTGTCCTTCCCACCTTGGCTCACCAGGAAGAAACCCAAGGAAGTGGCCAGAGTATCAGGGTACAAAGGGCTGGAGGCTGGAATTCGGTGGGTCAGGCAGCCCTGGCCGGGAGGTGGTGTGGACCTCGGGGGACTGAGCCGGAGTCCTGGGTCAGCCTCCTGCTACGTGTGAAGGAGGGCCTGTCATCTAACTCTCCCTGGCTCAGAGTTGAACTGAACATCTGGCATTTTAGCTTACTTCCTAGTAAAGTAAAATAACATTACTGGTGAAATGACCGTTTAGAGGTAAACGTATAAAAATACTGTTTTAATAATGGCCGGTTAAATTTATCTGAATTTTTATTTATGTTTAATAAGCAGCAGGTTGGAACATTCAGCGTTTGGTTTCTCCTTTGTCTGTTTTGTTTGTGTGTTTTTGAGAGCGAGAGCGAGAGAGAGCGAGCGAGCAAGCAGCGCTCTGAGGAATGGGGCAGGGGAAACAGAGAAAAAGAATCTTAGGCTCTGTGCTGGCCATGCACTTGGAGCTCCATCTCACCACTGTGAGATCATAACCTGAGTCGAGATCAAGAGTCGCTTGCTTAACAGACTGAGCTGCCAGGCGCCCTTGGTTTCTCCTGTTAAGCATTTAACAATCTATCAGTGTACCCATGAGAAGCTGCTGCTTTTCTTTTCTTTTTTTTTCTTTTTTTTCTTTTTTTTTAGTTTATTTTGAGAGGCAGAGTGTGAGCAGGGGAGGGACAGAGAGAAAGGGAGAGAGGTTCCCACGCAGGTTCAGCACAGAGCCTGTCTTGGGGCTTGATCTCATGACCCTGAGCTGAAATCAAGAGTCAGACACTTTGGTGACTGAGCCACCCAGGGACCCCAAGAGAAGCTGCCTCTTAAAAGGACCCTCTTCAAATATGGGGAATCCCATTGTCACGGGAATAACGTCACCCCTGAACTTGAGGCAGTAAGGTAGTAAGTGGTAAGCATTCTGTTTGATCATGTAAAAGACTGCCCAGCGTGGGAGAGGGTGTGTTTATATACACAAAATTCCTTTTATTCACACTCTGCTGGGTCCTGTGTTTCTGACAGACACCAAGTCATTTCACGCACCCCCACCCCCACCACCAGGAAGCCACCGTGGCCCGAAGAGATTAAGCATGTGAAAGAGCCTTCTGAAGAGCGAGGCAGGTTGGGGGTTATAATTAGGTTGGGTGACCTCCTGGGGTCCCTGAGCATCTGGGAAATGCACGACAGGTACTGCGGGGTAGCCCACGCAGAAAGAAGAGGAAGTGCCAAAAATGAGGTGGTCCCTGAGACAGCTGGGCGGTCAAATAACACCTTTGAAATTCAATTTTCTTTCTCTTTTTAAAGTTTTTTAAAAATTTATTTTGAGAGAGAGAGAGAGAGGGAGGGAGGCGCAGAGAGAGAGGGAGAGAAAGAATCCCAAACAGGCTCCATGATGTCAGCACAGAACCACCCAGGCACCCTCGTTTCTTCTTCTGTTAAGCATTTAACCTGGGACTCGAACTCACGAGCCATGAGACCATGACAGAAGCTGAGATCAAGAGTCAGACACAACCGGCTGAGCTACTCAGGCAGCCCTAAGTTTCTTCCTAAGCAAGCCTGCCCACGGTTCAAAATGTGGCACTAGTGTCCATGGGAAAATGCGGTCTGCCCCCGCCCTGAGGCCCCTTTCCAGCTCCCGGTCCAGCTGCCACCTGAGCCCAGCCCAGCCCAGCTGCGGGATGCCCTCGGACGGAGCAGCCACGAGGCTCACCCCCGGGGCTGCCTGCAACGGCACTCCCCGTTGTTCCTTTGTCTGGGCGTCACTACTCGTACTGCCCCTTTCTCTCTCCGAAGTGCCCCAGTACAGGGGATAAATGACATGTCTTCCTTGTTGAGAACCCGACTGGGGTCTCTTATTCAACAGTTAGCAAGACTTGGAAGCCTGGCCAACAGACACATGAAACGATGCTCAGCATCCCTCCTCATCAGGGAAATACAAATCAAAACCACACTGAGATACCACCTCACGCCAGTCAGAGTGGCTAAAATGAGCAAATCAGAGAACTCTAGATGCTGGCGAGGATGTGGAGACACGGGCACCCTCCTACACTGTTGGTGGGAATGTAAACTGGTACAGCCCCTCTGGAAAACAGTGTGGAGGTTCC